GTGTTCCTGATTCAATACCCTTATCTTTGCCCTCATAATTGAGATCATAAGCTGAGTTGAATCAATTGCCGGTATTGTTCAAGGTTTCTATTAAATTTATATAATATATTATATATATTCACTTTTCTCGACACTTGATAATGTCGGGACCGCACTCCTGTCCTCCGACTACTCGATGGTTCTTTTATGATTCGCCTAATAACATTGATGATCCATTCGCCCCCCTTCCAATAGCTAAATCAACCCCCAATTCAAGTAGTGTTCCAGATAATGATGCCAATGCCGACTCTGACGCTTTTTTTGAAACGCATTTAATACCGCAGAACAAGCCCAGCTTTTCCTCCTTCACATTAACCGGCTCACTAATACCAAGCCCCAGTTGGAATGCTTTCAGTACCTATGACACTCTGAGGCTGCGAGAGGTGTTTGATAGAATCTCTCCTAGTTCCACCCAGGCTAAACTCGGTCATTCTGAAAGATTGAATAAAAATACCGAAGAAGTAGTTGTAGGTGTTAACAAATTGTATTCAATTACATTTGGTAAGAATCATCATCATAGTCCTATGGTGCCTGTCTACTGGGACCCAGTGGGAGATCTGGCTAATGTACATAGCTCAACATGGTTTTACTCGCAAACACTAGGCCCGGTCGAACCCTCACTGGAAGATGCAGTTGAGAGAGCATTTTTTTCAATCAAACCTTGGACGGAAACATACATATCAGAGTTGAAATCAATTGTTGAAATTCCAGAAGCTATGGATAAAATACGCCCTTTAATAGAATATGAGGTGTTTGACGGTACAAAAGTGCAAAAGGTTAAAGCTAGGATTGAATTTAGTCCTTGTTTACAACCCAAATATACATCTATTCCAAAAGTATACATATTCATTCAGTCATCATTTTCTATCATGAACACAACGTCGCCGGCACAAGTGGCAACCAATCTTTTGAATGAAAAAATACCTTCTGGCGCTTATGCTACCCTACAAAGGCACTTTTCGTGGGACGCATGGAAGGATCTTAAGGGCTTACCTCAAAGCGTTATTGATAATAAAGACAAAGGACCTGCCAAATTTGATCATTTGATTTTGGTGATCCATGGTATCGGCCAGAAAATTAGTGAACGAGTTGAGAGTTTAAAATTCACCTATGAGGTTAACAAACTTCATTTAATGGTGTCACAGCAGTTAGACAGCTCTAAAGTTACTCAATATTCAGCACTGCCGAATTCAAAAGTGTTAACTCTGCCGATTAATTGGAGACGAAAATTAGATTTTGAACAATTAGCCAATACAACCCAAAGTCAGGGCCCATCTTCAAATCCTTACACATTGAAGGAAATCACCATGACGAGTGTTCCGGCGGTCCGTAATATTATCACTGATGTCATGTTGGATATACCATACTATATGTCTCATCATAAGGAGAAATTACTTAAAGCCGTTATTAAGGAAACTAATCGTATCTTTAAGTTATTTTGTAAGTACAATCCAGAGTTCCTGGCTAATAAAGCCAGTACCGTCAATTTGATGGGGCATTCGTTAGGTAGTATTATCGCTTTGGATATTCTCTCCTCACAACCCAGCAAGATTGAGGTGAATTCTGAACTAAATTTCCAGAAACAAGTTATAGATGAAATTCTTTGCTTTAATACTACAAATCTGTTCTTGTTAGGTAGTCCGGCTGGATTTTTCCTTTTACTAAATAGTGCAAAATTAGAACCTCGCCAGGCTGATGAGAATGAAACAAAACATCATAAATGCTCTCTTTATGGCTGCTTAGCCGTTAAGAATATTTATAATGTTATCAATTATTCTGATCCTATCGCATATTTAATGAATCCAACTGTGGATGCGGTTTATGCGTCGAAGATTGCCTTAGCAGAAGTTCCCGGTGAAAAAGCATTTCCCATTCTGAGTGAAAAACAGGAAAGACGGAATAGTGGGTTGTACAACTTGGAAAATCTTGTAAATGGTATAAAATCTTCGATTCCTTTTCTCAATACTTCAAGTAGTCCTATCACTAGGACAGGCTCCCCAGCTAACGATGTGGAAAACATCAAAAGCTACAATGTTGAATCTACTCTTGACTCAGGCAGTTTCGAGAAAAAGAAAAATGGGTTTCTTGAAATTCCAACAGTTTCTGTAGCGAGTACTGGTCTACCCACCGTAGCTACATCGATGGCGAGTATAATGACTACTTCTCTCAAAACTAACCCTTCTAGTCCCGTGCGTGATGGGCTAGTAGATTTTCCACCGATGTCTCATTCATCTCCTAATAATACGTGTTTTTCCCCATCTATACCGTTGTCTTCATCGTTTTGTGATCCACCTAGCTCTCCCTTGCCGAATCAAATATTTGATTTAGAAGGTGAAGAGACTGATATTGGACTATCTCATTTACCCGAAGAAGTTGAGATGGAATCAATGGATTTTAAGCGAGAAGCCGAAGCAGAGGAAAAAATGTTCCAGCTAAATGAAAACGGGCAAATTGACTGGGTTCTGCCTCTGAATGGTACTTTAGAAAATCAATACGTTTCGATGCTTAAGGCGCATACTGGTTATTGGGAAAGTAAAGATCTAGCTCGATTCATCGCAATTGAATGCGTCAGGAAGCGAGGTATTGAGAATACTCTGCCACAGTTCCGAGCCAGTAAAAAGTCCATAATGTAATTGAACTCACTTACTCCTGTATGTTTGTTGAATGGTTGAGATTTTTTTTGTATTCATCTCGTTGGGTTTGTGGCTTTTCTAAACTGCTATGGTAGAAGATGGCATAATAATCAAAGCATATATTCTAATTTAAATAATTAATACAAGAAACCAAACGAAACCTTAATAAGTGAAAATAAAACAAAATAACAGAATAAAAATAGTAAAACATTGAAAGTATAAAGGAGAAATTTTAAAGCTGAGAGCTCAAAGTTAACGACGAAAGAGAGATTACATTTATTCACGCTTTCTTCTCTCTGAATATGCGTAACATTCTTAACCATAATTTATAATGACACTTAAGGTCCCATTTATATGTCAAAAGAAAAAAATGGCTGGTTTGAAAAGTAATTTAAAGAACTTTTAATTTCGATTGGGAGGGTTTGATCTTTTATTTTCATTTCTCATTATTAAATTGGATTTAACCAATGATTTTGTTAGAAATCTTAGCAATAACGTGCAAAGCAACGACAGAGAAAACAAATCCGAGAGACATAACCATCACAACAATAGGATCAACTCTTAAACCTTGAGCTTCATCAGTGTAGAGTTTTAGCATGGTAGAAGATGATCCACCGGCACCAGCTGATCTGGTTGATGTAGGACGTTGGTTAGCAGATTGAGCTTGTCTATCTTGATTATTACGACGACGGATAGCAGACTTAGGGCCACCAGGGACGGGAACATTTGAGGATGTAGACTAAAGAAGTAAAAAAAACGTTAGAATTAACTTGTGCGCCCTAAACATTGTCATTTGGCTGGTTGTATGGAAGGAAGTGTTTGAGGGTAATTAAATAGTCAGAAATAGTAAGCATTTTTTAATATGCTTGTCAAAATATTCCAAATAATGAGTGCGTAATCATGAATACCGAACTCAAAAGGCGTTTTCATTTACCGCTTTTCAAATAAACGAGTAATGGGAACTATTTCAACTAAGCCCCTATTTTCCAACCCAAAAGCATTGATCAGGCCTAAGATTTGACCAGTCTTTGGTTGAAACAAAGATGGTGATAAGCAATATTTATTGAATTTATTGCGTTCCAGCACATCCTACTTCTGAAAAAGCTTGTAATATTTCATCCGTCTAGGTCAAAATCCTTTCATTTGACACCTCCAAACTCGCAACTGGTCACTTTCACAGATGAGTGGGGTCCACCAAATCTATAAAATAAAATAGTCCGATACAATAATCAGAAAATACTAACCATTATTATAAGATTGTGGAGATAGAAATTGATTTAACCTAAATTTGATTTAATTCTGGACAAATTATGTTAATCGGTCCGCTTAATCAACTTAGTCGTCATTCTAAAGCCTTGACGTGGAGAAATCAAAGTTGGGACTAGGCTTTCACCTCCCTCGTTACCACGGTTACCGGTGTTTTTAGTCATATAACTGTATAAGAATCAAATTATTTAAAGTCTTGGTATTAAAAGAGAGTGAAAACAAAATTTAGAATAATGAAGGCATTGTTTGCAAATTTCGTTTAGTTTTTTTTAAAAAAAAAACCTTATTGTCCTATTTTTTAAGAAATTCTGGTTCAAAAGGCATTTCTTTGGCATCCTTCAAAGTTATACTATCGGGTAACTTTTGCTAGGTATTAGCTGAACAACCTTATCGAAAATCCAAGAATATATTGTTTGTAGGGTTGAACGTTCTAGAAAAAAGAAAGTTAGAATTGGATAAGATAATATATTCTTATATCGTTATATTTCAAAAGTTGCTCGTTTCACATTTTTCTAAAATAAAACTAAACTAAAAGTTGAAAGCGATGTTTTGTTTCTTTGAATAAATATTTAATTTACTGATGATCAAAAATTATAAATAATAGGTTTAATAATTTAAACAACTTTTTGAAAATTATAACTAGTTACTTAAACGGCCAAGAAATTATTTTATAAGCAAAGGTATTTTTTTGAAACTTAGTGTTAAGTGTGTGATCCTTACGTAGAGCTCATGCTAATTATCTCTAAATCGACCGATATTGTTATATCTCGCAAGAGCGGAGGCGCTATTGAAAAAAATCTTTGCTTGTATGCTTGAAGGAAAATTACCTACTAGACTATATTCTCTAATATTGTCATAATTATAGAATATAAAAAATAATCGAAAAACAACAACCTTTATATTTTAGAATAATTTGGACTTTTATTTAATAATACAAAGGCCAAAGTATAAAAAATAGCAATAAGCCTCCTGGTGGCCAAGCTGGCTAAGGCGCGGGACTGTAATTGTTACAAATATCCTGAGATCGGGCGTTCGACTCGCCCCCAGGAGACTTTACTTCACGGACGGTTAGTGTAGTGGTTATCATCCTTGCCTTCCAAGCAGGGGACGGGTGTTCGATTCCCCCACCGTTCATTTTTTGGCTCAACATATGAGAATGCTTTTACGTTTTCTTGATCAACTAAATAATAAACAATCAACCTTGTTGGATATTACGACCTCCATTGATTTTGTTGCCTTTTTATTATCTTTAAACCAAAACTTTTTATATTATTAAAGAAAAGACAGTTACAAAAGTCGTTTTAATTTGGGTTAAAATGCATAAGGGATCTTGTGTGTATGTTCAAACTCTACATAAATACTGCTTGAATGCAAATTGTAAGCAGAGAAAAATAATAAGAAACTTCTATAGGAAATAATCTGGCCAAAGTCAAGGGAAGTAGAGCAAGCGTAGACATATATATGTACATACATATGCGTACCTTAATGATACATGTTGTACACGTTATGAGGACGTCAAATCAGCAATCTTGAAAACAAAAAAAAACGATTATTAAATTTAATTTTAACTAAAACCATTTCAATTTTTCATCATACTATAACTTTAAATTTGCGTCTCAAAAAATTCTTGAATTTACATAAGATACTGCCTAGGATTCAAATTATATTGTGGACAAGGAAAATAAAAGATTACGTGAAGTCTAAACGAAAACGCAAATAATTCAAGGATAAAATTGGGAATTGAAGCTCAGAGCCAAAATTTTGTTATTTTAATGTATTTTAAAATGTTGTGTGATAGTCATTCTCGAAATTAAAAACTAACTTTAGAATAAAATATCTGTTTTTGTCGATTGTACATGGTATATTATTATGACAGTCTTACCTACATGTTAGCGACTCTTGCTTACACGAAAAACCATTTTCAACAGTCATAATGTAATTTGTTTTCTTCCTGCTTTTTCTCCTTAGAGTTCCCCAGTGATTCGATAAACTTTAGTACAAAGATGAAGTATCATTAATATGGATACATTATAAAATTTTATTGATGAGACTAAGTTTTGATAGGTTGTTACCAGCTTGAGAGCTTGCAAGTTAGACTAAAGTCAAGTTTTCTTCGACTTAACGAGGTTAGGGTTTAGTAATAGTATCAGATAAGAAAGTTAATTATGGTTTTGGCCTGCAGAGGTGATCGTAGTGGGGAAAACGATAAATGAATATTTTTTCCTTGATTGAAAGATACAAGTTCAACAACTTCATATTTTCATCTTGTTTTATAATACATGGGTGTATCTATCTAAGAAATATGTAGAATGTACCAATCACACTGTTAGTAAAGCTTTTCACATGGTCAGTTTCCAGATGAGACAGAAGAGTATGATACTTTAACGCTATCGACTGATTCTTCAGCTTTCATGATAGATTTGGTTAGTAAAGAGAAATCGGAGTTGATATCTTAGTTACTAAGTAGCTAATTATTGGAAGGATCACATATCTAATTTCAGCTTAATATATTCAAATAAACTACGTATATTAGAGTGTGCTTACTGAAGGGTATATAAATCACACTAAATTAGTTTATGCGTGACGTTTGTTAATCTATTTTCTCTGAGAAAGATATTAAATAAGTTGGAAAAAACAAGTAATAAGATCGTAACATGAATACCTTTGAATTAGTGACAAAAAGAAAAGTATAGAGGAATGTGGTAAATACCGTGACGAAAAATTAAAGTTAGAAGACAAAAAAATGATAATTGTATTTTATTTGGTTAATATATTCGTATGTGATTTCAACCAAAAGTGTCAAATTTAAGTAGGAATATGACCAAGAATGATTTTATCACGACTTGAATATCCACATTTGCAGAACTGGTGATCAGGATTCGGGAATCTAATACTACAAGCAGAAAAATAGTGAGAAAATTATGATATTTTTTTTCTAATGATTTATTGTATAAAGAAATTAATTTTTATTGGGTGTGGGGGAGGGAGGTGTAAAAAATTCTAATCCGACTAATAAAGACCAATATTAAAATAACAACAAAGAAAAAGAACTAGAGTTCATCAAATTGAAATTTGCACTTATTTTGCTAAACAATACCAAGGGATACAATAATAATCGAGAGTAAGGAATTTCTTAACGGTTGGACTTGGCGACACGTTCAAGTTCGTCCTTCTTCTTAATAGCATAAGAGTTAGGGGAGCCCTTACCGGCGTTGATAAGTTCTTCAGCAAGACATTCGGCGATGGTCTTGATGTTTCTGAAGGAAGCTTCTCTAGCACCAACGGTCAAAAGAGAAATAGCTTGGTTGACACGTCTAAGAGGGGAGACATCAACGGCTTGTCTTCTGACGGTACCGGAGGAACCGATTCTGGTAGAATCTTCTCTGGGACCACAGTTGACGATAGCATCAATAATGATTTGAAGGGGGTTGGCATCAGTAAGAAGAGCAATGATTTCCATGGCGTGCTTGACGATTCTGACAGCCTTAAGCTTCTTACCGTTGTTACGGCCGTTCATCATAAGGGAGTTGGTAAGACGTTCGATAATAGGACATTGAGCCTTTCTGAATCTCTTGCTGGCGAAACGACCGGCAGAGTGAGGAAGGTAGACGGGTTGTCTAATTTGAATGTAATCGGTAAGGGAAATATCCTTAACTTCGACATCTTCGAAAGACCACTTGTTGAAAAGCTTGATGGAACCAGCTTCGGCAACGACGTCCTTGGGGAGGACAGTGAAAGATTGAACTTGTTCTTCTTCGGCAGACATTATTGATAACTCTACGGTGGTGGGCGTGTAGGGTAGTAGTGCGTACGTTCGTCGTGGGAAAAGAGGACCAGTATATTTTTTTTTGCCAAAACCCGCTAGAGTGGCCCGGGCCACCCTGCGAAAATTGGGAGCGCCGCCGCAGAATCGCAGAAAGCAACAGGGTAAGGGTTTATCTTATAGTACTGAGCGTCTACACAAAAGGCCCGGTTAGGCGTCGTTTGCCAGAGTGAGCCCCATGAGGCCTAGTTGAGAATTATGGCATTACTATTGTAATGTTCAGCACGTGTATAATTTGTGGACCGACATGCCACTGCTTCCACTGCCATTAAATGAAGGAAAGCACTCCCGATCTGAGATGAAAACAGTCACTTTTCCACTGTGTGTTGGGAGATGGTATTACATGAGGTGGCAGGCCAGCCCGAAAGAGAACGTCCCAATTTAGGGTTAGCCCTATAGAGATATGGTACCTACCAGACGGGGCTCGGTGAAGTAAATAGTGAAGAAAACCAAAACCAAATGGCTTACTGTATCATCCGGCATCGAGGGAAGAACATATAAAAGACAAGACATGAATAAAATACCCAAAGCAGGTCTAATAATTGTGGATTTTTTACAAGGTATCGACGTATCCCACATAAAACCACGGCTGACTCAAGAGACTGTGGATATAGCGAAGTCTTCCATCATTGTCGGCAGCCAAAGAACTGATTATCTGCTTGGCTGTGTTCTGCGCCGCATGTCATATAGGCTGGCGGGGCAAGCATGTGCACCAACATCCGGGGCCCCGGCCTAAAAATTTCCAAAGGGTGAACGAGAGGCTTATAGGAATAACCGAAAAAGTCTAGATTTTTTTTGGATACATTTTGTAATTGTTTTTTAAGGTTTATGTAGGTTTATATTTATTAAATATTTTTGGGATTTTTGGGATTTGGGGGGCTTACTAGGATTGAGCTGATCTGGTCACGACAAGCCCAAGACGTCATCATTACTTTTTTTTTTTTTTCAGGGTATGGAAAACTACCAAACAAGCAGAGAGTGCCAGTCTAGCATCGACTTGTTTTCCCACAAATACAACACAGCCTGTTATCTGGTTAGTTTATTGGAGATTCCGGCCTAGAAGAGCCTTGAGGGCCTCCAGGCCATGAGATAGGCGTGGGAGGAGCGCGAGTTTGGGCGATCAAGGATGGCGAGCTATAAGCTATATAGTTACGCAGGAAGCCGGAACCAGCAACTCCAGCGCCACTATTCCCATACTTTTAGGGTTGGCTGCAGTACCGCACGAGCGCACAAGCGATTCATTTAGTAGAGGCGACAATGGCGGGTGGGCTCCAGTCGCTGAACAAAGGACTTCATTAACTTGGGATTCCTTTACTCCAGAAGTATGTCACCCTGGGTTTCCATTGGCCCTGGGCTCCACTGTCCCGCCGCCAAAGAATTACATGCCTCGAGTAAGCGTAGCCGAAATAGTAACAAATAACCTAAACTGACATCTTGTGAATCTTTTATTCTATGCAGAACTCCATCTGTAGTCAATTACATGGACTCGTAAAAGTGCCATGGACCGTCGGCGATTATGTTTTACGCTAAAACATGGACACTGCAAAAAACACAAAAACACAAAAACACAAAAACACAAAACTCCAAAGCCCCATAACTGAGCCCAAATCCACATTCAAATCCACATTCAAACCCACATTCAAATTCAAATTCAAAACGTGAATATGCCAAAATAAACAACGCTTAATAATTACCCCAGAGTTAGCCAAGACGCTAGCTAGAGACTCTGCACCGAAAAAAGTCTATCGACGCAATAAATGTCCCCCCTATGCAAAGCCCAGTTACTAACTCTCCAAATTGACGCACCCTGGTTTGTACCCACGGGCATTATCCAATCGCTGACGAACAAAACTTTAACTGCCTTTGCTCCGGTAATCGCTCAGACTCGCTCAGGTTTATTGGTGATAACTAATATTGCCCAAACTAATACTAAACATTCTCTATGCCGCATCCCCGGGCGGAACGGCTCATCGGGCATCTCTAACGGCTTACGATTTCGGTTATACGGGTCCATCAGAACTAAAGCATCCAGACAATCTATTCACTACCGGCCCAGTTCTTTCGGTATGAAGTAAAAGTCATTTATATATATATGGCCATATATATATATCGCTATCATTTATATAAATCACCCTCATCAGCCCCTTCTCAATTCAATCTCACCACGCCACTACTTCGCTTTCCTCGTATTACAAAAAATCCTTTTTCTATTCTATTTTTATAGCCATAGTATCCCCAACTTCTACCACAGAACCAATACCTCACTTTTGAATCAAGTTTCAAACCGATCCCTCAACCAGTTTTCAGTTGG